TTCTCGTGGCAACAGATGACACAGCTTCAAATATAATGAATTCTATTTCAGTAGGATAATTATTTAATAATTATGCTTTCATTACGTGTTATTTTTATGAATTTTTAAATTCTTTTATTATTTGTCTGGAAGTTATTTGTCAGAATAAATGCATATATTACAGTATGCATCTATTCTTATAACAGTACAATTGAAAAAAAAATTGAAATATGACAAAAGAGACAAATAAAGCAGCTACCATTTCTCTTCATCTTGCAATTACCTTTTTTTAGATTTAAAATGGCACGTGTCTGATTGGAACTATAACTAACCGTGTTCCCATGAAAAGAAAAAATCACCTGTAGACATCTTAAAAAAGGGTTTTATTGGCTTATCAAGTTGTTAATATATTGTTTTCATATAATTTACGTAGTTGGCTTGGTTTTCAACTCACTGACAAAAGATAACATATCCACATTTTTTTAGGAATGAATATAATATTTAAATAGCTTTAAGAAAATGAAATTGTAAAGCTATTTTATTTTGAAATATATCGTAGAACATTTGGCAAATGACTAAATTATCTCTTTTAGTTATGGCTACATGTCATATTATTTTGGAAATGGGGCATTGGTCTATTTCACACTACAAGAGTATTGTATTGTTTCACATTCCTTGCAGTATTTCATGTCTCCCCCGATTTTATAATTCTTTATATTCATTTCTTCTTTGTTCGTGTTTCCTTTATGACAAAAGAAAAAATCTTCGGGAGGCTAATTGACCCCACAAAAACATTTTTTTTTTCTTTTTTTTCAAGAGGGAAACTGATCAACCCACTTCTGTATAGTCATTCTTTCAGGTTGAAACTTGGCACATAGACTTGTTCCCGATGACAACACAATCGATCACATTTTAAACCCCACCTCCAACCTCCAGAAATCAGTGTTACCTGTTATTCAAAAAAAGCGGGTGGGGGATGTTAAGGCTTTGTTTAATGGGTCCGTGTTTTGGTGTGTGCGATTAATTGTGTAGCTGCTACTCTGTGCTTTGTATCTGTGACGTGCTTTGGTTTGTTGTAAAATAAAAAATTGATTTTCAAAGTGGAAAATTAAGTAACATGAAACGTGTTGCCGCTACTTTAATGAATGTTAAATCGTGTCCACTTGCCTAAATGCAAACAAAAATGCATTTAAAATATTTTTACGAAAAAAAAAGTTAGGGGTTGGGTTTATCTTCCTTTCCAACACCTTTTTGTACAGCATCTCATTTTTGCTAGTTCAAATGGCAAAATAAAAATCTTACAGACATTTGATGAGTCACAATCCAGCCTACCATCTTCATTCCTAATAATTGTTTTATTTAAAAACTTTTACGAGATAAGAAAATTCCAATAACAAGATGAGAGTTTTCATTATTGTAACTTTTGTTTTTTATAAACATGATTAATATAACTAAAGATAAACTTATTTTAAAAATAACTGCGTTGTAGCGCTATTTATAATATTTTAAGGCTTTGGGTAAAGATTTATGCAAATTAGAAGGACTTGGATTCCAAAGCACAACTCCCTGAATCAACAGATTTTTACAACATAAGCCCTTAGACATAAAGTCGATAACGTTTTCCCTGTTTTAGTTCTACGTATAATAAATATGATATATAAAGAATATGTTTTACTTCAAAATAGACGTTTTAATATTTTTGGTATTAAATTTTAAAGTATTTAGGTACTCTCCTCTCGATCCAACATTGAATTAAGTCATTTAGATCTCATAATAATATGTCACTTTTCTTGTACCGTTACTAAAAATACTCTTGGCAGAATGGTGAGGCTAACTATTGCTCAGGAATGGATATTATATTTGATATAATTGGAGAAAAAAAAAAAGAAGTTACTCGACTCATGAATCTAATTATAACTACTAGGTGGTAAACGAAAAAAAAATGCTTTATTGACTTAAATCTTTGGATAGTTCTATGACATAAATGATTAGATTATCTTTAGATACATTGTGGACATTATGAAAAAAACCGCATAAAATTCAAATTCAAATAATAAATTAAAACTTCGTGCGAACAATGTCAAGAGTTCTTGGTTTTGTTACAAAAGAATTTTAACAGCACACATCCTTTTTCGAATTCTCCAATCCAAAATTACTTGATTTATTGCAAGTACAGAAGAAAAATGATAAAACAATTTTTTTTTAAATTCTAGAAAACGAAAAGGGCTTGTTGTGGAATCTGCATAATGATGAACCATCGTTTATTAAATTTAAAAAAAATCGTTCTTCCTTGGATTGTCAGCTTCATAAGTCATAAGACAGGGTTATTTATTTACCGGATAATATTTTTTTAGGAAACCACTAGATAGATACAAGTACGACGTGTCTCTATCCGAGGTATAGACAAATATTTGAGAGCCTTCGGGTTTAAAAGAAAAAAAAAAGTTTGTAAAAAAAAAAAATATCTTATCCAGTTTTATGATTTTTTTCTTTAATAAATGATACTGTCAATCTTTTAAATAAATAATTACAATATATAAGCTATTATTTATTGTGTGTGGTAATATTTCGGTATTGAGATTACGAATGAATGTAAATTAAATATAAACACAGTTGAAACTAATTAGATGCAAACAATCAATGTTTAGCCTATATCATGTTCTCATCAACACATTGTTAAGCCTTTTATATACGTTAATATAATTATAATATGAAATAAAATCTTTTAAACACATTAAAAAAGGTATACAAGTACACACTTTAATTTTGTTTTTATTTTAAAAAAATGTTTTTTTTTGAATGAGCCACTTTGGCTTTGGAAATAACGAAGCTTTTCAATTATTAAGCTTAGGAAGACGTGTGTTTAATGTTGTTGGAAACAATCACATTTTCTATGATTAACAGTGAGAGCAAAATGCTGTAGATATTTATCAATCTTTTATAGTAAAAATAAAATGCTTTTAATAATGTGTTAATGTAGGCCCTATATGTGTTACATGAAGTGTCGTGCTCTTATAATAACATTAAACATTTCATATCATAACTTAAAAGTGGTTGTGTCCTCGGACTATGAAGTAGATTAGTTCATATATTATTTATTGTATTATGTGTTTCTAAGACAAACTACTCATTAATCACTTGAAAAGTGGGCCTTTAATAGTTTTTCGGATTTAATCATAATCGGATACAAACTAAAGTGACCTAATAATATATTTTCTTTCACGTGCACTGACAAAGACAGTTTTACGACTATAATGATTGTACAATTTTTAATTGAAAATTAGACGTATTATTTGGCTCGTGTATAGTTGATGATCGTGGTTAAATTAAAAAATTATGGATTAGGCCCTAATGTGGATGCTTGATTTAGTTTGTATTTAAATAAGTCGTCTAATTTGTTAGTTCATCCGTCAAAATCGTTTGTCTTATGTGCTCTGAAGCAGCTGTTCTGTTGGGCTAAAGTTGCTTAGAGCATTTATGTAGATACGAGAGCAAGACGTTTGGGTCCTTTGCAGTCTAATCACAAGAGTTCCCAATGTGAAGCATTTTCAGCATGGCAGCATCGCTTTCAAGTTATCTTTGAAGCGTTTCTTCTATCTCATCAAATCGCATGAATAGCCGGGTCTAGCATAATATAAAAAAAAGCACTAATCACATTCTTATTATTTTGTATTTCAATGTTTGTGAAGCAGGATCTTTAACGATGATTAATATTAATATTAAAACAAAGAAACGAGAGAGCATGTTCCTGTGAGATTTTGGAGATGAGATGCCAGTGACTTAATTTTATTTGTCCTAATTTTGCTAAAAGCGGCAAATATTCCCAAGTACATGCATTTTTTTAAAAAAAATGTATTATAATTTTTAAATAAAAATGGTTCCGTTAAATAAAATCTGTATTTTATTTGTACATGTATTTATTTTAAAAAAATAAAAGTAATACTTTGAAGTAGGGATGGCCACATTAAACTTAAACTCTGGTATTTTTTACTTACTTTTTTTTTTTTTTGCTTTTTAAATAATACGTTCCCTTTATTTAACGTTTTTTTTTTTTACTCAGAGTCAGCTATGCCTAAAATAATTTTTTTTTTTGTTTTTTAAATAATACGTTTCCTTTATTTAACGTTTTTTTTTTTTACTCAGAGTCAGCGATGCCTAAAATAAACACTGGTATTAAAAAACATGACACTGCTAAAATATAATGCCGTTCACATTGTATTAATTCAACACCCAACCATTTCTCAAGCCCCTTGCTATGGAACTGAGAAAATTGATTTTCCAAAGGAAAAAAAAAATGAAAACTTAATTTTATCTTTACTTTTTATTTAAAATCATATATTTTTAAAATCTTTAAAATATCTTTAACATTAAATAATCAATAATGTTAATGACTGTAACATTCACAGATAGTAGGCTAACATTAAAATAGTAGGCAATCATCATCAATTTGTATTTTAGAAATATAAGCTATAAGTTTATTAATTCTAAAAAAAAATTAACATGGTAACTTGAATTTAGCTTTTTATTAACGCTAAACTTACTTTAATGAAAATATTGACCCTTCCTTGTTTACGCCTCTGCACGCCTCAACGGTGATTTTATTTTTTTTATTTTTTTTATTTTTTTAAACGAAAAAAAAATGTATGTAACATTATATCTTATATCTAGGGATAACTGCCCCGCTCCTTCCTAACCTTTTTTTCCCTCCGAGTACGCCGGACAAAGTCGGTGTTTTTTTTTTCGTTAGGTAAACGAACTCTCGAAAGAAAAAGTATTAGCGCATGCGCATTTAAAATTCCGTAATCCGATCTATGGAACTGTCTACCTAGTGACTTCAAAATATTTTTTTTTCTGAAATAGTGCAATAAAATCGGGTGTTCCCAAGTCATTTCCGGGAATTTCACTTGTCTGTGTCAGGTCTGAGACTGCATAACCCCTTCCTGAGGGTTATCGTTACCACCACAGACTGTATTTCAGTTTTGCACCCATATTTTCAGGATAACTTACGTCTTACGTGATTTACGTTTAATTAAAAATAAACATTGAATTGTATCTACTTCCGAATATTTTTTTTTTTGAAATGTAAAATTTATAAAAGTTATTTATTATTTTTATCATTATCCCTCAAAATAAATAAACAATAATTATAATAATCATAGTGAAAGTGAATTATATTATCATATACTATACAGACTTTGGTAACTTTTACTTTTGATACTGACAAGACAGTCGTAAAATGACATTATTAATAGCCAACTTTGACTTTAGGCTAAGGCTAAGGCTACAAGACTAGAGTCTAGAGTTAAACTTTAACTTAAAGTTCAGGATTTTCGTTTGGATGTAAGTGTAAGCAGATCACTGGTTATGCATAAGCTAAACCTAGTGAAGTATTAATACATATACAATTATATTTTTGAACCAACATTAGGTACTTTGACACAAATTTTAAATATTGTCCAATAGCCACAAATGATACACCATTTTAAAGGGCTCCCTATATATAAGCTTTGCAAAAACACCAATTTCATCTTTCTATCTTTTATGGAAAAAAAGTTATGATTTTTTTGGTGAATTTTTTAACCCCCTTTATTTATCTTTGTATTTAACGAAAAAAACTTGTTACCAACTTTCCACATTTCTGCTTTATTTTGTCCACAACTTTTTTATTTTAAAAGATAATGCTACCAAATTTTCAGGAGACATTCTCAATGCAATATACAACACAATAAACAACAAAACTTTTATATAACTGCCAACATTGAAAATTGATAAATTGATTTTCTGCACATTCCAGTTTATTAATAATAAAGTAATTTTAATGAGCTAATTCAGTTAAATTAATGAGTAATTTTCATTGTATTCATTAACATTAAGAATAGGAATTTAAGAAAGTATGCATGGTTGCCCTCCCTCTCCCCATTCTCTCTATCTCAGTCTTCCCACACTCTCCTTTTTCCTCAACTGACTTCAACAGCAGACAGTTTTAATCCTCCTCACAACTAATTTACTTTTAGACTCTCTCATATCTCTATCTATACAACTATACAGTATATAGTAGGCCTATACTTTAAAAAAGTAAATACGCAGTATATGTATGTGAATATGTATGACTATGAGTATTATGACTATGTTGTATCATAGAAAGAAACACAGATCAAATAAATCATTTATTTGGTGTATACTATTTTATATTAATATTTTAACTAATTTTTCAACATCACTTTCAATATACATTTTTTAAGCTAAAAAATTGCTCTGATTCAAAAGAAATTTATTGCAGCAACCAAAAATACTTTATAAAACACAACAGCAGCTTTGTAACTGCAGTATACCTATTATGTTTTCTGTTGAGAGGGAGGAAGTGGTTGGATGAGCAGGATATTCTGTTTTATATGTCATTAACCTTATTTTTTCATTTTAGACATGCATATTACCACAATCTATCCTTTTCAGTTATTTATTTGAGAAATCTATATAGTTAAAAATGGAATGAAAAATAACTTGATGTTTGTGAGTTTTAACTCAATCTTTTAAATTTTTATATTTTAAAAAAAAGCATTCGGTTTTCATAATCTTGTAAAAAAAATAAAAGTAATATCTAGCATCTTTATTTGCATGAAACTGCATAGGTCTAATTGGTGAGCTGTTTATGTTGGAAAAAGAAGCTTTTGCTTTAAAATCATTTCACCAGAAGATCCCGAACTTGTTTATTGTCTCTCTTAAGTAATCTGAAAAATATTTATATGCTACAATCTCTATAAGCATATATTTATAAATGGACTGGTTATCTGTGCATGTAATGTTTTTTTGCACAGTGCATCAATTTGTTATAATAAGTACAATATGATGTACTACAGTTTAAGTAGTGCTGACTTACATTATTCTTTTAAATATGTATTGGTAACATGTTATGTTTCTTCTAATGTTTTATCTTTTACTATAATTATAATCAACTCCAATCTGTGCTATCATTGACAAAAATTAAAGAAAAATGTCTTTATTTGAAATAAGATAAATAAAGCTTGACATGAAAAGCTCATAAAACACACTTACTCTAATTTAGTTTACTCATGATAATCACTGATTTATAATTTTTTCATCTAGATGATGCATACTATTAGATAATTTTTGAACTTTACTAAATGATAAATGGATATTTATCAAATATTTGATGTAATGTTTTTGTTATTTTCCTTATTTATATTTTTTAAAATTAATTTTTATTTTAAATTAATACATTTACACTGCATTAACTTTAAGAGGTATCAACTAGATTCTACTTTCTATTATTTATGATTCCTTTAAGTTGGGTGGCCAACCCAAATAGCACCTGGGGCCATTTAAACTCTTTCATCCTGCATGTCATTAGACCTCATACATAAAAAAAACAACTAATTTTTATATAATTTTATTTCACATACTTGATTACACATTTAGATGTGTTGCACAAACACATTAATAAATTGTTTCGATACTAAATTTTAAAGAAAATTAAATCATAATTCATTAATATCAAATGTATGGCTATAACAAAAATGAAAATAATCAAAATAAAGAAATATGTGATACGAATACCATCTGTAGAGCAAAAAATTTATTATATTGGGCCTACCATGGTTTAATTTACTGATATATCTTTCAAATACTGTTTTTTTATTTTTTAAAATTAAAATTGTATTTCCTCACTTTCAAGTAAATGTAGCAAAATCAGCTTTGGATTTAAAATCTCGATGCAAATATTAGTTAGTTTTTTTTGTGTTAAAATTTTAGAGTTTTATAAAGCTGCAAGAACTATTGAAATGCCCTGCTTTTTTGTTTTTGTTTTTTTTACTGGATCACAGTCTGATAAAAAAAAAATTTTTATTTGTCAATTTAAAGCAAACTTGTAGCCAATTGAGGTAGGAAAAATATTAAGAAAATATTCACTGATCATCATGGATGGCCTACCATAGTTTACATTTACCTCCCTAGTGTAAAGTATCTACTGTTTCACTTATAAGCTTAATTCTAAATTTACTATTTACCCAATACACTGTAAGCCAAGCATATCATTACAATTAACTCAGCTTTACAGTTTACACTGTTCTCTCCCATGTATGACACCTGCCATCTACCAAACTTTAGGAATGAACAGGACATACTTTTTAGTCTTCTACATAAAGAGCACAATTTTTTGTATTGCTATATAATAAGTTCACTGCAAATAAATGAGGCAAGGTCATAAATCTGACAAGACCCCCAGCATTGTTATGATAAAAATAAATCTAAATCTATTCAATCAAAAACGTGGAATTTAAAAAAAAAATAATAATAAATTTAAAGATCAACTCTACATTGTTTTGTCAATGGATTGATGCTTTGTAACAACCAAATGTGAGCAAACGTTTAATACTTAAAATAAACTACATATTAAGTTAACGCGTTTTTGAAAAGACTGTGTGCTTTACTTTGTCCAAAAAAAAAAACCTCATCTAAAAATCTTATAGATTCAGAATATTTTTAATTCTATGAGGAAAAATGTAATTATCATTTAACTTCAATACCTTTCATTTCTTTTTTTTTTAAGAATGGCTTCACGAAGATAACATCATATCTGGCATCTTGACAAAAACAACAACTTTTCCAGCATATTATTTTTTCTTAGAGATGTTCAGCTATGTTCATCTGACATTTTTTCTGGAGTTTCTTCTTGTCTATGGTAAGTGTTTAAAAAAAGAAAAACATGGTTTAATTTGATTATTGGGATGAGTTGCTACAATGATCAAAATAATAATTGTAACTTTTTTCTAAACAAAAATTCCTTCATACTTTACATAGAATGAAAAGTCTCTGTATGTGTAAGCTTTCTGTATGGCGTTCATGTGCAGATTTAGGTTAAGTTTTCTTTAATAATACAGTATTGCATCACTTTTTCATATGCTGATAACCAAATGACCCCTTTTTAATTTTTATTATTTTTGTATACTTCGCAATGTGTACTGCGCAATGGGTACTGCGCAATGTTTACAGTGTTGAATTATATTTTTTAAAAGATTTAATGAAAATATATTGATAGAAAAAGTGAAACAAAATAACTTCTATTTTGTTGACACCAGGGGTCAAGGCCTAGCAAAAAAATGCATTTGGAACTCACCGAAGATCCCCACTCCCAAAATAAATATGTATTTTTTGGTAGAAAGTAAAAAAAACAAGGTCGCCATTACCATGAAAACCAACAGATACTTAATATAAAAATATAGATTCAGCAACTTCAAGCTTGACAATTTCAATAAAATGCAAAGAACTCTGATTGTTTTAAGTCATCCTGCTCCCCCAGACCATGGGGTCCGCTTTTTAATGTAAAATAGAAGATATTGAATTGATTTTTTTTAATGCAAAAGATGTTCCTCTCCAAAAGTAGATTCTGGGCTCTTAGAATAAAATATCTCAATTATTCTTTGTAGGCATGCTTTCTGTGATACATATTAATTATCAAGTTTCCAGATTGCATTAACCCAGTCTGGTGACTTTATGTAGCCTACAGTAAGTATCAAGATTTTACTTTAATTGTGCAACAGTGATCGGAATAGTTCTCAGTGTTTGTGCTCATAAATTCCAAGCCATGAACACTGCGAACTATAAAATGGGGCATTCGGATAACCAATGTTTCACATAATGGGCATTTAGAAGACTGACTGACTCCACTTTTCTATTTCACAAAACTGAACAAATAATTTTTGATACGAAATAAGGTGCAGAAATTATACCTCTACTGAGAATTTTCATACGCAATAAATGAAGTTACAACTATCCTCAGTTATGGGTGTAAAAACAACTTGACCATAATATCGATAATAGATAAATATGTCTTATTTTTAAATTTGCCCACCTTGCAATAAAAAAAATTCAAATTTAAAATTGTACTTATGCATTTAGACAGTTTATTTTGTTTAAAAGAAGATAATATATAGCTTTGTCATGGACATATTTGTTGTTCAAATGTATTTCAACATTCAAATTGTGCAAGCATTTTGTAAATTTAGTTTTATTGCATTTTGTTACAGGTTGCATATGTTTCTTTAAGAAAGACCAAAAGACATAATCAAACATATCTTGCTTAAAATTACGAGATTATTTGTTAGTCTTAACACTTTAAATATCACAAGAGATAAATTAAAATTATTTTTAATGTATGTATACTTAACAATCAATAGCTTTTACGTAAAAAAAAAAGATTGTATTAAAATTTACAATTACAAAAATACTAAAGAATAATCAATATTAAACAAGCCATTCAGAAAATGAAACCATAAAAAATATTATTCTTTTAAAATTAATAACAAAAAAATATATATAGAACCTGTTGCATAAACCTTTAAGTATGCCATTTAAACAGAGCTCTTTTTAAATGGCACACTTAAAGATTTATGCAACATTTTCTATAATATATTATTTTATTTTTAATTAAAAAAAATATATATTTTTTTTGGCTTCATTTTATGAATGGCTTGTTTGTTATATAGAAATTAATAAGACAATTTGAATTTTGCAGGTTCAGCCGATGATAATGTAAAATTACAGATTAATGGTCAAGAAGTGGCATCCGATGAATGTCTTTATGAAACTATCAGTGACACGAATTTAACTTTAGCATTTTCCTGTGGCACTGAGTCAAAGCAATGTCTGATAACGATAAAGGTTAACGATTCCTTCGTGTTCAACAAAAGTAAAAGTCCTGTAGTGTTCAGCATGACCACACATCATGGATCTGAGTCACAGTTTACCATTGCGTATACAGATACAAGCATGTCTGGGCATCACAAATATGTCAACTGTCTAGTAAAAACAGGTATTTTACGTTTCAATATACATTTGGATTGTTAGTTGAAAAGATAGCCAAATTTTGTGTTGAAGCAATTGCATTTTCAAATTATATTAAAGGCTATAAAAAAATAAAAAAATATATATACATATCCTTTTTTTCAAACCAGTTAGAACGGGGCCATCCATTAAATTGTTCAAACTAATTTTTTACTATTTCCCCCCCTCCCTCTCCTGTCACAACTCATTATGAATCTTGTTGGGGGTGGGACTAGACCACTCCCCCTCCCCCCGCCCCTCCAAGTATGTCATCAGCATATGTAGGTTACTGAAGGGATTGTTTGTAGATTGCCTATTGTTTGTGGGTCTTCGATCTCCCACAGAAAGAGTGCCGGATATTGTTCCTCTGGTGTCAATATGTATGTTTTATAATTATAATAAAGGTGTTTCATTTTGTGCCTTTTGCGGCTTATAAAAATATGTATACATATATATATATATATATATATATATATCTATATATAGATATAGATATATATATATATATATATATATAATATATATATATATATATATATATATATATATATATATATATTTATATATATATATATATATATATATATATATATATATATCTATATATAGATATAGATATATATATATATATATATATATAATAGATATATATATATATATATAGATATATATATACATACATTCATACATACATACATATATACAGTGAGAAGCCTTTGAAGAAACCTTTGAAACCTTCATGAATAAAAAAGAAATATTTGAAAAAATTTAATTAAATTTAAAAAAATGCCACTGCATATAACTTGTGTCTAGAAAAAGGAAAATTTTCAATGATGAAAAGCACTAGTAAAGATTCATCAAGTTTAAAAATCCAATCCATTTTATCCCTAACATACTTATACAAAATAATGAACTGTCCTTGATACTTTTAAACATTTTGTTATGATTCAAATGAGTTTTGAAATTTTTAAAAAAGTGGATAATGTTTAACATTTGTTTACTTCATCATAAAGAAGGTTCCCGTTTGTTCCGGACACATTGTATATTTACATACAATTATATATTCTCTTCTCTCCCCTAGAAATAAAGGAAACAAAAGATGGAGAGGCAGATTTCTTATACAAATCAACCAAAGAAAACCAACTCTCGACCACCCAGGATGATTCAAATTCAGATCTGAACAAATCAATACTTACTATCGGGCTAGGATTTTGTGGAGCTTCAGCGGCTATTATTATTGTTGGTTGTGCAATGTACGTTCAAAATGCAAATGTATTTTAATGTCACTCACTGCCCACTTAATTACATTTTTAAACTTAAACTGCCATTACTGTTGCATTATTTAAATTTAAAGCTTTAGTATGTTTTGAGCATAGGACTTATGTCAGTTTTGTTCCTTTTTTCTTACAGTTTCATAAAATATATATATTTTTTTTTTCCTCATTATCATGGATTTGGGTTAATATATTTTTTTTATTTTTTTATTTTTCAGATTCATTCTTAGAAGTCGTGGTTCTCTCTATTATGAGTATAAGGTATGAACCAAGCCCTTTAAAGATTACATAGTTAAATGAAATGCTATGTTTTTTCAAGAATTATATGCAGATGGTAATCTTCCAACCAGCGGTTATCAATATATAGGCTCATATGTATTTTTAGTTTGCAATACATTATGAAAGATGAAAAATTAGTAAGAAGAATTCAGAAGAAAGCTTTAATAATAAGTTCAAAAAGACTCTGCAATGGAAGTAAAAAATATAGATTGAAAGACGGCAACTAACTGAACCATTTAGTTATAATATCCTGTCTTTTAAGCCTCAAACGAATCCTGTTGCAGTATTCCTGAAGCACATTAGGCTTTGTTTAGTATTAATTAGTTGGGTAAACAGATAATATTTTTCTTCGAAATCATTTATGGTTCACATTATTTTTATAAAATTTTTCAAGAGTTACAGCAAACTCATATGCACCACCTTGTTCTTCAACGATATCCTCAAATTTGAAAAATTCTCTTTGATTGATTTAGCTTCCTTCAAATGACAACTGTCTATCATCATTCTGTCACTGTGCTGCATGTTAACATTAAAGCCATCAAGGAAGCTATTATAGTTTTAAAATATTTATTAATCTGCTGATAATTGATAACATTAGTAAGATACCATTTTATCAAAATTTTGTTTTCCTGAGGTGTGTTATACATTGTGTCTGACTGATTCTTCAACATATATGTATATAAAATACATACAATATAGCATATATACATTATTACAACTGCATGCCTTTGTTTACATGTTTGTGTATTTGAGCATGTACTATTATTATATGCATTTTTGTGTATTGCAGATTAAGCCAAAGAAAGGGGAAAAACGTGTCAATGGAATGTCCAATCTTTGGGAAAAGGATTCATTGGGAATACATAGGCCACCAGCTCACATGAATACAGTTATATCGACAACAGATGATGATGACCTTTGTTCGGAAATACAAGATGCGGAATGCGCAATTCAAGACAAGTCGGTAAATGAATCTGAAAAGAGCAAAAGCTGTCAATATCTTTAAAGAAAACATTAAGGAAAAAAAAAATGATATCATTTTGATGACCTCAAATTACAGATCAAAATTAAAAAATTGAACTTTAGGTCTATCATGAAATATGTAATTTGCAAATGCAAAATGAAATATGGTAAATGACACTTATATTATTAGAGTTAAATGGCATATTTTGGTTCCAGGTTTTGAAAGCTACATTATGGAAGCAATGTATATTATGTATATGCACTCGGCATACAAAAAAAAATATATTTTTTTTAAAGCTTTTCATGCTAACCTTTTTCTATAAGATGCTTTTCAAACACGGTATCTAAACTGAGTTTATGCTTAGTTTACCAGTTGTAGATAAAATTGATCTTTTTGTTTTTAAAGTGGTCTAACAAAATAATACAGATACTCTTACCCTTATAATAAACAATGGAACAAGTAACTATACGCACAAAGAAACAGCTTTATTCATGTGGGCTATTCCGGTTATATTTCTATAAGATGGAGTCTTATGCATCATGGGATTTAGTACAAGTGTATAAACAGAATGCTTCCAATTTTACGTGCCAATTTTTACGGTCAAAGCTTGGGATAACGTGTATACATATAAACATATACCTATAAAATGTTTTTAAAAAATTTACTGTGGAAAAAAAAATGTCTTTAAAAATAAAATCTCTATTAAAACACATATTATACCAAACCTGTGATGTGCACTGTGCAATAAAATTGAATAAATTATTTAAAATGTTACATAACTTTTTGTTTGTCTTGAAATATTATTAAAAAATGAGACAAACTATCAGCCATGCAAATCTATTTTGTTCAAATGAAACCTAGTTGAAGTTGAAACAGTTTATTTTTCTCCATCCAAATGAATTTAAGTGCTTTACATATCTCACTATGTGGCCTTTTTGTAAGCTTTTAATGTATCAGCTTTGGGCTGGTGTGTTCTTGCCTATGCATTGTCTAATCAATTGCTATTTTATGTATGTTTATTTAAATATGATTTTAAGTTTAAAAGTAAAAGATATGTATTGTTTTATTATGTTTATGCATGAGGTATTTTTCTCAGTAATGATTGATTTAAAGTATTTTTTACATATATATTTTAACTACCAGTATTATAAGTTAATAGCATAACTTAAAGTCAGTAACCTTAAATTTTTTTACATATATATTTTATGTATTATTAGTTAATTAACCTTAAAAGCACAAGTTTTAAGATATTTTGAATTTTAATTGTTGTCTTAATAAAACTTGAATATACTCCATCATTTTTATAGTTGGTTTTTTTTTTGGACTTAAAATTTGTTAATGCATAAGAGTTTTGGTGCATTACATTTCATCTATAGAGGAAGTCATGACTCAAAAAAGACAGGTTATCTTTGATGTAGATAAATTATTAGAGTTGCAGGCCTTGTTGGACTTAACCTATGTGAAGAATTGTAAAGAAAAAATGAAATATAAAACTTCATTTAGTGAATAGTATCCACGGTGAATTAAAGCCTAATTATCTTTATTTTTTTCTTTTAGAAAAAAATAAACTGAAGTGTGAGATAAGGACACAATTTGCCTAGGCCTTATAAAAGTAGAGTGCTTCTTTAATTTGTGCTATGCGCAATAATTATGCCCCTACTTTGCTTTCCCTTACTCATTTGTAAGATCCTTTGCTAAACCTCTCTATAGTAATTATGCAACAATTACTGTAAATCATGATTATTTAATGGATTCGGACCCGGGTCCGAGAAGTGAGAGTTTGGGTTTATTTTTAATTATTTAAAAAATATTGTTGGGTTTGTAAGACAAAATTAGATATCAAATAAAAGATAATTGAATATACTAAATTTGTGTAAACTTACTTCTTCAGTTTAACTAAAATAAACTACAACTAATGGCATCCGAATAGCGTGTAGTCAAAATGGACCCAGACACACAGCACCGCTATTCGGACCAGGGTCACACGAAATCAAGGTACAGTTCTTTATGACGTCCAGAGACTTCTCATGGAGATCAGATATATATATTTAAGAAGGAGAGTGGGTGGGTTGAAGTGGGTAATAACATTAAGGTATCGCCAAAATCGATATTTACCCATTGATGAGTTGACGTATTTTATATGCCATGTAAAAAATGTGTCAGACGTAGAACCACTCAACATTAGGGGAGGGGGGGGTGTCAAAGCCATCCTAATGAAGGTGGAGTGATACCCTCGAATGGAAAAGACGGAACCCTGTTTCCAACTACAAGACTTTTAGGTAAAAAGTACTCTATAGGCTTAAAATAATTTCCTTTACGGATGCGGTCCACTCATTGGAGAGTAAGCACATGTTACGAGGAAACAGGGAAAAACTGTGCCTAATCCAGGTGAAATTATCGCACGATGGCTACGACACACCCGGTGCACGTCTGGCACTCGAGAATATGGCAGTTTCTAAGTCGAACCCTCAAAATGAGCACACAAAAAAAGGCCGCACGAAGAACAATTGAGTCGTATAAGGAGTTTGTGGTGCAAGCCTTCACAGACGGCTCCTATTTCGTCATCGATAAAAAAGCCAGTATGTGAAACGGGTACCTCCAACAGAGGATATTCAGATCTAGGGTGGCACAAATAGCTCCAAAATCGATGCAGAAATTGAAGATATTCTAATGGCCCTAAGACAGGTACGCCGCCGATTGACAAAATAAAAACCACTTCCAACAATTGTAGTGTTTACCGACTCACAGTGCGCTCAAGGTGCTCTTTAGAACATGTCCAACGTAGTCTTGGACTTCATGCAAGACATACAGTCACGTAGAGGCAATGTGGTCCTCCAATGGATCTCCGGACACGCGAATTGCCCAAAAATGATAAAGCTGACTATTAAGCGAGGCAAGGCTCGGCCCAACAACACCCAAACAAGCCAATGGCCCAGCTGGTTGTCAAAAACTGGATAAAAGACCTCTTCACAGAGGTGCGGCTAAAGAATTTAGAAAACGGAAAGACAGCCCGTAAACTTGACCGAAAAATGCCAAAACTGAACAGAAATGGCGATCAAAGGGCGGCGCCTAATGCGTGAGCAGCAAAGTCTCATCACCCAGTTAGAACAGCACATTGGTCTCATCACCCAGTTGAGAACAGCACATTGGTCTCATCACCCAGTTGAGAACAGCACATTGGTCTCATCACCCAGTTGAGAACAGCACATTGGTCTCATCACCCAGTTGAGAACAGCACATTGGTCTCATCACCCAGTTGAGAACAGCACATTGGTCTCATCACCCAGTTGAGAACAGCACATTGGTCTCATCACCCAGTTGAGAACAGCACATTGGTCTCATCACCCAGTTGAGAACAGCACATTGTTCTATACGGAGAGGTCTAACATATTACCTCCACCTCAAGACCCAAGCTGCCGTCACTGCGCTATGTTATTCGTTATTGTGTGTTTCAGTGTTAAATAATTAGAACCTGAATTGATGAGCCCATCTGTCTATTTCCATTGAGTTCATGGTACAATGTAACCACCTTTAAGTGGTCGTACCCTCTCATTTACACGTAATGTGTATACTAATTTCTCAAGTCCCCTGGGGAATCACCACAACATTAACGTTAACATAAGAGGCGAATCTTTAACGTAACTGACGCGCTATAATCAATAGCAAGTTCTTCATTACGATGTTGACTGAATCAGGACCAATATTCTACTGCACATTCAAAACTAAAATTATAAGAATCATTTACTTATCCCCAAAATCAACGTTCACATTAACTAAACCTTGTTTAATGATCTCAGGCAAAATAAATTATATGTAGATAAACAATTTCGTTATCTAGAAAGCAACTAGGCACAAAATTACACTTCACTACGTCACATTAAGAACTGTATTGAATACATTTTCCTTTGACTAACCAACACACAATAAAATAAACGAACCGCCTGAGAATTTTTTTTAATCTAACACAAAACAAAACATGTGTTAAAAGACAATACACGTATAGTTTCCCAAAACTGAAAAGACACATGTAATAATGTCCTATGTTGTGCCCTGACCAGAACCCGTTGTCCATATAGATCATATTGTAAAGACCTGTTAAAACTTCTTAAAATATCGTCCATATTAGTATCAATAAAGTAGCTAAATCTTAAGTTTTATTTTATGGCTCTAAAAAGAAAAAATTATCATTTAACTTTATAAGTGAAAGTATTTGTTTTTCAAATTTGTACTCATGTTGTGTACTAAATCATGCTCAGCGTACTGCGCAGCTCACTAGAATCGTATAGAGTCAAGATAAGGTAGAATCTACATAATTACCATTGATGAAAGATGATTCGATTTCTGAAGAATAAAACTTTAGTTATCCAAACACCAATTCAGACTTTATAGATGTTAGAGTGGACATGATGTAACATTGTGTGTATCGAGCCCGTAGCGGGCAGATCATGAAATGCGTCCTCTTATTTATATAGATGATATAGAAGACAGAGTAGTTTAATGATGGAGATGCCTTGGAGCAAAATCACTCAAGGTTGTTGTACGACCATCAAAATAAGAACGCTTGCAAAATTAAACGTTGATAAAAAAGGAAATCCTTAGTACTGATACCTTCATTCAAGAGTTGACGTGGACTAATCGAGTGAGATAACTGGTAATGACAGAGTTTCAATCCAGCTAAGTTCCAGTTTTTGGTTCAGTAATGATTTGGTTTCAAGTTGTTTTCGTCCTAGAATACAATGGTGTGATTTTAGATCTAAGTACATGCATTTCTTCACAACTCAGTAACTAATTTAAAATCAAGAGAGAGAGGGAGGAAAAAAAACAACCTTTTTAATACAGGTGTCGTCTAACACGGTGTGGTGATCTGACTTATGACTTATTAGAGAGGAGTGTCTCTCGTATGAGATCTCCTCTTGGCACTCTGTCTAGGGATATGTTATTTAAGCCGAATAACCACACGGACATAACACCTATCTATATACACATAGTATAGACTGAAACGAAGTCCTAGTTAAAGGTGAAATTAACTACAAATATCTATTACACAATAATATTTACACTTCCTACGTGAAACACTCGTGGTGCTCAAGGTATATACATCCAATTAGAAAGGTATATTAACACAAAGCAAGTGTCCCTAACATACAGACGGTATCGTCATTACTACTGCTATATTGCTCAAGTTCTATGCTCGATCTTGGTAAACTTAGCCTTTATAGATTCTGTGATGGTCTCGGTGGATCACACAGTATGGGAGTCCTTCTGTTCAAGAAGTAGTGTCCCTGTTCCGGCCTTCGGTGCTGTTCTGAGCGTAGCGAAGTCGGAGTTCCCGGTCGTAGAGTCCTTAGGATGTCTGCGAGGGGAAGATGACTCTCCCGCGATAAATCGTGGTGGTGAGAGTCCCTGGATCTCGAAGTCCTAGCTGTCAGGTAGTTTGGTGTAGGATGTAGATCAATCCCCTAGTTCCAGCTCAAGGTAAGTCGGTCCAGTAATAGAAACCAGGCTAAAGGCAAAATGATACAAAATTGGATAAGTATCCAGGCGAATATCCATAAGCTGATAAGTCCCGTTCCAACAGCAACGAATTCAGATCGATGTCTGGAAGGTGACATAGCTTGTACATATATACATCCAATTTGTGGATTTAATATAAGTCTTTTCATTGTCGGCGGGAGCATATGTTGCATCGCGACAATGTTAGACCACTCAAACATTTTAATTAATGAAATATGGGATTCACTTTCACTGTTGCGGGTTTGACCTTCAACCCTTAAGGTTAATCGGACTGAGGTGACCATCCTTTTTCAGGCTTCGGCGTGAGTTCTCTGTCTAGACAATGCATTTCCAGCAAGGGACGATACTCCGCCTTGCTGTCTACAGGGCAAAAATGAGGGGGGGAATGGTATTATTTCCTCAAGGTTGTTCGGTGGGATGGTTGACCGCAAATAGCATGTTCGGGGGGTGAGCGAACTGGTGCAGGAATGTGATATCACAAGGGAACTCACTCGTGCAGAGCGACTTCGGGGCAACTTGAGGGGAGGGAAAGGAGTTATTATACAAGGGTTACCAAGGGCGGCTTTACGATATAAGAAATTTTACAAAGTCCAGCCTCAGATCGTCACACACAGCCTTTCGCAAAACTTTAAATTGTGGCTTACTGGATGACTAGTATCGAAATAGCATCACAGATCCACACCATATTTTTTTTTTTATTTTGAACACGAATAATCAATATATTCAGACCGGCAGCGAAAGGATCATGAACTGATGCAGGACCACAGAGCACCATTTGGGAACG